GGTTACTGTGGGTAATACACTAAGACGTCATAGTTTAAAATCATGCATGGCACGGAAGGTTTCCCTGCTTAAATCAGCACACGTCCAGGCCCGTCTGGACTTGCTTTTATTTTATTTTTAACGTAAAAAAATAAAATGTTGAATACATACTGAATATGCGCCACATGTTGAACATATGGGATGAAATTGTGTACACGGGGTCCCAGTTACATCCAACAATAAAATGTAAAAGAAAAACAGTAACAAGATCTAAGATATGAACTAAGAAAAATATCAACTAAAAAACATCTACTAATAAATAATACACTAAGCACTAATGGCAGTAAACAATCAAAACAATACGTCAAACAGCAACATGAACTTGAGTTTGTGCAGCTTTATGAATATCTAACCAGGATAATCACTGAAAAATCACATCATACCATACCATTTTATTTATAAAGCACTTAAAACAGCAACAAGGCCAACCAAAGTGCTCTGCAGACAAAACAACAGGTAACACACAAAGCAAAATACAAAATGAGGTAAATCAGAATATAGACATAAAAACGATGCAGATAATGATGACAAACCAGTGTGGAGCATGTAAGATGTAAGACTGATCACAGCCCTCCTGACACTGAACAGCATACACAACATTACTCTGTTTGTGCCGGGGGACTGGATCTTTGGGATGAACCAGTCCCCAGCCAAAGATCCAGTCCCCCGGCACAAACAGAGTAATGTTGTGTATGCTGTTCAGTGTCAGGAGGGTGATCAGTCTTACATCAGGGAAACAAAACAGCCACTGGCCAAAAGGATGGCCCAGCACAGAAGATCAACATCATCAGGCCAGGACTCTGCGGTCTACACTCATCTCCAGGCCAGAGGTCACTCTTTCAGGGATGAAGATGTTCACATCCTGGACAGAGAGGAACGATGGAGAGAGGAGTAAAGGAGGCCATCTTTGTGAAAAGAAATCGTCCATCATTAAACAGGGGTGGAGGCCTCTGGGTTCAATTGTCCCCCTCTTACAATGCTGTTATTGCTAGTATCACTCAACCCTCTGTGAACAGTAAACAGCCATCAGTGTGCTAATGATCCATTGTTAGGCTGATGGTCCTTCTTGAGCATGTGATCAGCTGGTTTTGGTTGTCAGCAGCAAAACTGGTTGATCCACTCTGAGAAGGTGCTATTTAAGAGACTGAGCTGAAAACAGCACCTCAGACTGAGGAAGTCTCTCGGATGAGAGACGAAACGTTTCTACATTTTTTTTGTTGATTTGCTTTTTTTTTTTTTTTTTTGAATGTCCAGAGGACCAGATTTAACTTTTTTAGATTTTTCTACCTGGATTATTGAGCATGCATCAGGATACTGTTTACTATATCAAGAATGGACAGACCTAGAGTTGGAAACACCTCCTTTAGTAGTCGAGGGGGGACCACATCAAAGGGGGAACCAGGTTTCAAGCTGCACATGACCTGCTCTAGAGAAGATAGAGTGATGGGTTCAAAATGGTCAAAAGGAGCTACAGATTGAGGTGGGATGGATGGGTCATGAGTCGGAGGGGAAATGAGAGCCCTGGTTGTTGCAATTTTTTCCACAAAGAAATGTAAGAAGTTGTCGCACAGCTCAGTCGAGGCTTCCAGAGGTGACGGTTCAGTGAGGTGGAGAACAGAGTTTAGGGTGGAGAAGAGGACACGTGGGTTGTGAGAGTTTGAGGTAATTATATCAGAGAAGAATTTGGATTTAGCAGCTTTTACTGCTTTCTGATAACAGCACCAACTCTCTTTAAGTATCTGGAAAGAGACCTGCAGCCTGTCTTTCCTCCACTTTCGTTCCGCCCTCCTACATTGCTGCCTAACGGCCTTGGTGACGTCACTCAACCACGGTTCTGCTCTCAGTTTTGATTTTTTGGTTTTAACAGGTGCAACATGATCCAGAGTCTTTAAGCAGACAGAGTTGAACTGGGATGTCAGCTCCTCAGTGGTGGTGAGAAACACCGGGGCCTGAATGATCATTTCAGAGTTATAAACATCTGTGAAACTTGCGGCAGTGAAGTGGTTAATGGTCCGGGTACTACGTGCTGGAATGCACGACTTAGGAGTTAGATGGGGGAGGGTGAACTCAAACCGGACTGGCATGTGGTCTGAAAAAACATTATCACCAATAACAAGATTATTAACAGTCATATCATGAGTTAAAACAAGGTCCAGTGTATGTCCACGCTCTTGGGTGGGACTGTTTACATGCTGAGTTAAATTAAATGAGTCCAATAAATCTAAAAAGTCCTTAACCAAGGGCTTCTCAGGACAGCACACGTGCAAATTAAATTCCCCAATAATGAAAAGATGCTCATATTTTGGTGTGATTTCAGCCAAGAAGTCAGAAAACTCATTTATGAAATCCTTAGATCGAGGTGGGCGGTAGACGAGTGCAAATAACGTCGCAGGTGAATGTCCGAGTTCAAAGACGCTCAGCTCAAAGCTGGCACGGGAAACTGGGATGGGCAGTTGTTTACAGTCAAAAGTTGATTTGAATATTGTTAATAATCCACCACAGCGCTGTCCTGATGGCCGCGGGCGTTAAAACACAGACTGTTCGGTGGCAGTAATTCCATCAAGGCGCTGGACTCACCCGGAGACATCCAAGTCTCTGTGATGCAGAAAAAGTCCAACTCGTGCTCTTGAAAGTAATCCCTGAGGATAAAAGTTTTGTTGGTAACAGATCTTGCGTTGACCAAACGCATCCGGATATTGTCCAAAGTGGAGCCAGCAGCGGTGGAGATAGCGTGCACTAATGGCCGCAGGTTTTCAATAACAGCCCCTCCAGGATGGTCCGGGCTGCGCAATGGCTGACAACTCCCGCTGGTTGTCTGGTCCGGGCACGCGGGAAGCTGGAGACCATGACCGCTAGCTGGAGAGGAACCAGCGCAGAGCTTTCAGCTTCACCAGCTGACCAGCACATTTTCCCCGGCGTCTGAAGCGAGATCTCTGGGCAGGCAGGTGAGGAGCGCAGTGGAGGTAAGCTGGCACGTCCGCCAGCAGGGAGGGAGGAGGGGGGGGGGTCCAGAGGTACG